TCTCTCTCTCTCTCTCTCTCTCTCTCTCTCTCTCTCTCTCTCTCACTTTCACTTTAAGTAAAACTTTTTACAAATTTGTGTGAACAGTGATTGCGTCAGACTTGTCAGTTGTCATATCAAACAAAAGTGAGGTGAGAGGCGAGGTGCATCTCCAAGGCCAACATTTTGCTCCTTGATTTCGAACCTGCTGAAATAGACTGTGACGCAATACATTATATTTATTAATAGTATTATTATTAGTAGCTTTAGGACTAGGCTAGGCCTATTTGACTTCTTTAGTAATCGTCAGAGGTTATTTCTGGTTATCTTTCTGCAATGAGCTCGACAAGACAGTGCGGCGGTTGATTTCAGAATGTGATGGATTGGAAAATGGAAAATTCACCCGTGAAGGATGACGTCCTATTTGGCATATGAGAATGACCTTCACATTCACCTTTGGCCTTACCTTGGAATCCTTCCCTCTCGCTTGGGTCACTTACACTTACAGCACAGATCAACTCGTTGACTCGTTGCTCAGCTTGGACCGAGAGCACCGGTGGTGACTTCTTTATCAGGAGTACAGTTTGCAAAGGAGCTGCTCTTCGCGGATCAACACCAGAAACTCAATAATGGCTGATTCGGTCTTTAAAAATGTGGAGATGGCACCACCTATTCAGGTGTTTCAACTTACTAAGATGTACAACGAGTGCTCAAATGAAAATAAAGTTAACCTTGGAGTCGGAGGTAAGGAGAACCCCCCCACCCGCCCTCTTCAATTAGAGTCTACTCTACAGTCCTGTTCGATATTATAAGACAGGTCAACAAGGCTAGATCTTAGAATAACTTGATCTGGCCGTGAGCCTGAATTTCCAAATTACTACAGTTTGTCCTTCAAATTTCTTTTCTTTAAATTCATGTTGGATAATGACACAACTGTCTTGATTGTTTAATCAGATTTTTATGATAAATTTAAGGCCTTCAACCGCTTCTATTCTTTTCTATGGAACCCGATTCTTAAAGCCTTTTAGGCTAGGGCCTATTTGATTTACAGTACAGTAGTCTGAGTAGTGGCAGCAATTGTTTACTTTCTCGCCTTTAATTCCGGGGGCAACAATGGTCGCGCCTCTGCCCTATGCCATGCATCCCCGACTGATATATATTCAAAACTTTGCATTGGAGTTATTAAGATGTTAACCACAGCAACTTCCTGGGAAGCATAGGCCTACGTGTGGCCATTTTAGGTGCTAAAACACTAACTTACCATGACAATATCTTTCGCTGTCTATGGCCGGGTACCCATAACCCATTCCCACCTGGGTGAAGTGGGGAAAATTCTTTTAAGGAAGAGGCTAGCCGTAC